GTTCTATATTTAATCAAATCTATAAATTAAATTCATATCATTTTTTTAAGGACCGTCGTTTGAAAGAAAAAGAAGCTCGTCGTACAGCTCGAGAAGCTAGACGTCGTCAACTGGAAGAAAGTGAAGAGGAAGAAGGCGAAGAAGAAAAAGAAAAAGAAAAAGAAACGAATTCAAATGATGAAGATCAAGAATCTCCTGCAAATGAAAATAATGAACAATCAAGATCAGAAAGGTTCATAATAATTCTCAAAATAAAACAATAAGTTTATTGAATTTATTTTTAGAAAACGAAGTTTATCACCTGTTGAAACAAAAAAGAAAAAGAGAAAACAACGTTCATTGACAGAATTCATTAATGAAGATACTACTAAAACTATTAATGATACCGAACAACTTGCTCTGTATTTGTTATCAAAATAAAATTATTATCACTGTTTTGTGATTGTGTTTCACATTTCATATTTCTTTCATTGAATTATTCAAATTCACAAAATTCGAAAAAAAGAAAGAAAAATAATATTGTCGTCGTTTGTCATTCAGTCATTCATAATTGATTATACTTGAATGTCAAAATGACATGAATTAATCGTTATATTAAATTATAATTTATACTAAAAAACAATTTAAAGATTTTCATACGTCTATAGAGAATGAAGTTAATATGCAAATCAACGCCCTCTATGTGAATATTCTGAGTTTTTTTGAAGAAAAAAAAGTACTCAGATTGTAATAGACTAGTTAATAAATGTCTACACAATGAAATTAATATGGCCTTTTGAAAAAACAGAAATTTGATCGTGCACTATGACAATATAAAGATACATTTACAGTATAAATGGCAGATAGCATGAGTCATACAACGATCTCATTGACTATTTCCTAAATAATTATACCATGGACAGATGGTATTCTATCTATCACGTTTGGTGTGGTATTTAAATAAATATTGATTTTTCTGCTTATTTAAATACACCAACTGTTTTCTAGTTAGCAAATCGCTTGTTTATGACTATTAAATTGCAACAAAATCATAGCAGTAAGTTATTCTCAACAATAATTAGAGCATAAAGAATAGGATTAACTTATACATAATAAATATATACAAAAGTTAAGAGTATAATCGATTTTAGTTCATAATTTAAACTTAAATTATGTTATATTCAATGAAGGTTTGTTCAGTTGATTTTATTTGTTTTGAAAAATATTCGAAATTCTCAGCGGATTCTTAAGACACAACACTTGACATTTTCGATACATTAAGTGCGTAGAAATATGTTTCAGTCTTATCAGTTCACACAAGTGCATATGTATAGAATGAAAAAACAAATGTATCGTCTGTGCAGATGTAAGAGTTCGTAAAAACAAATCATTATTTTTCAAAGACCTCGAGAGATTATTTCGTTAAGATACTGAATGCTATAATATAAAAAAATTTATTAATGAAATATTCGTCCTAAAGAAAGTGCAACTATGATTTAATTTAAATAAATATATGTTTTATTTGAATTTCTTTTAGACATAAAACATGTATTCAGTACGTTCTTATTGTTCTGAAAATATTGAGCTTGATTTACCCACCACAATGTATTCAATAAGACCAATTATACAAGAAATAAAAGTAAATAATTTTTGTTTTAATTCTATTGTAGATCTTGTGTATGTTGGCGTTTTAATAATGCAAAACGATTTGATACCGGTACATTGAATTCGTATTTATTAGATGATTGTTTTCGTGAATGTTTTGTTGGTGATTGAACTTGATTATTTATTGAATATTGATCATAATATTCAACGAATTTTTCAATAAGATCATCTTTTTTATCGATAAAATCTAAATAACGTTCATAAAAATAACATTGTCGTTGTTTTAATTTCAATATATCACGTTCAATTTCACGCATTTCAAGAAGACATGCGTCAAGTTCACGAGCTAAATAACCTTGATTTTGAAGTTCGTCATGAAATTCTTCATCGAAATTATCTATACGTTTATCTGAAAGAATAGTATTAAGAATAGGTCCAAGTAACATATCGCGTTGTTGATCAGTATCAATTGAGACGAGATTTGGCGAAATATCTTCGTTAGATTTTGTTCTAGTCGAAACTACTGTTGTTGAGCGTATTGGTGATGTATGAAAAAAATGAAATCGATTTAATAAACGACGAACATTGGTTAAATGTTCGAAGACAGTGAATAGTGCAAGCATCGTTTATTGTCGTCAATGTATGATTTTCCTATATCTTATGTATACCATCTGTTGCTTTTTCTTCTCTCCAATATAATTACCATTTGATGACAATAACATACATAAAGCTCGTTTTTATCGCTCCATCAATGATTTGTTCTGGTCTATTTTAATGGAATAACTTTTTCTTTCTTCTTTCTATTTTAGTATACACCATCGTCATCAAATGATACATTATTAAAAGATATTGAACGACGACAAGATATTTTATTAAAAAAACTTGAACATTTATTTAATGAAATAAGTCAATATGCAGAATTTCAAAAGAACAATCCAAAAGAACCTATTCAAGAAGAATTAGTTGTGCATCTTTCAGCAAAACAACCATCAAAAAATATATTAAATTTTATAGAACAAAATCATAACAAATTTTCAATTCGAACATATCGTCATTCATCTTTACATGGTATCTCATTTAATAATCCAATTCAAAATGTATCATCTTCATCAAATAATCGTTTATTAACAATTATTTGGAATGATGACAAGGAAAATCTTCCTTATATGTTTTATTC